TGAGAAATGTAATTTTTATTACAGTAAATATCAAATTTTTATTTCGGTTTTTTTAGAATTTTTCAATAATATGTATTCATTGATAGTAATTAAATTTTTTGATATGAAAATCAAAATTATACTTTTTTTTTGCTTTCATCAGCGGAGATGGAAACTGGTTTTGCACCCTCTTTCCATTTTAGCACGCTTTGTTTTTTTTTCTTACTTTTTGCCGGTCGTTGCCGTACAGCTACCTGAAATTTGAAGAGAAATTTTTGAAATATTAATGGTTAGATGAAAATTCTTCACATAGAATTTCTTATTGTAATAAATAGCTTAATTATGATAACTGAACTGTTGTAAGAGTATTCTGGATTGAGCGAAAGTGTATTTCCAGCTATCTGATGGCTTTTTTCTGCGTATGCAACTATGGTTAAGTCACATTATTTGAAACAAATTCAAATTTAAATTGAAAGATCGAATTTATGATGCCTTCAAAATATATGGTTTTTTTTTCAATATTTCACTATTTGAACAAAAATTTATTCTGCTAATTTAATGTACAATTACTTTGTTTCCATTTTAGAATGATTAAGAAATAATTACTGGATGAGAATTTCGGGAGAGAGAGGGAGAAAAAAAGAAATATCATTTCTAGGGAATACGATCTGAATAAATTCAACCACGATGGAAGAAATAATTTAGAATTTATTTCTAGGCATTGAAAGTTAAAAGTTTTTAAATATTGGGAAAATTGTGTGCATGGCACGGATCACTTTGACAATATCTTGAAATCGTCAACGTAGCACAAATATGACAGAAATCCATGATATTTTAAATTATGTTAGTAAAATTTGCGAAATATTATGGTTCATTAACGATTTAATCAATTATGAATTTCAAGTTGTTAATTTGCCTGATCAAAGTTTTTTTTTTGCTTGCATAAGTAAACTTTTTGAATATTTTTAATCTTTTTTTTGCATATTTGTCACTGCGACGAACTAAATTATATTTATTTTTCCCAATATTATCAAATTATTCAAACTTTTTTTCCCTACGTCCTTTAATTTTCTCATTAAAAAAGTTTGAATTTGAATTAATAAAACGATAGGAAGAAAAAATAAACCAATCAATAAATAAGAAATAATATTATAACTGATAATTCTGCCTTAACAAATAATTGAAATAAAAAAATTTTTCTTATGGACTGATTGGTTTATTTTTTTCTATCTATTTTCTTTATTTATATTCTTATTCGTTTATTTTTTTTTTCTTATAATCCCAAACCTTTTCAAATTCCGTATTTTCTTCTTTAATACCAATGCTTTCTTTTTTATGTCGTAAAAACTTCATTCTTAATTTTCGAAAATTTGATGGTAAGCCAATATTTTTTAGCTTTTCTTTTGTTGCTTTCAAACCGAACGAATCACTTGCAGTTGCACTTGAAATTGCAGTTACAGGTGAATGTGCAGGTGTACTTGCACTATTACCACTACTACTACTACTGCTATCCTGCACTGATGATGAATGTTGTTGTTCAGCTTGTTGTTGTTGTTGTTGTTCAGGCTCTTGTTGTTGTTGTTCTTGTTGTTCTTGCTCTTGTTGTCGTTGTTGTTGTTGATGATGATGATCGAATGATATTGCATCGGGAAGTAATTTTTTCCATTGATTTTTTAAACGGCCAGTCATTGTAATGGATATATCGGGGAGGAAGCAATAAATTTTTTTTTTAAAAAAACTATAAATTAACCAATTCCTTCACAAACTATGTAACACGAAATAAACATTTTACATGCACTTTTAGACTATTTATAAAAACATAATATTATGCAAAAAAAATAAAGAAAACATGGGAATGTAAATAGAAATTTTAATATCATGATTTTAAAATTTTAGAATTTGAAAAAATTCCGAAATTAAACCGGGAAAATTCTTTTACAACTTCTCTGTCATTTTTGTTTGTTAATTAAAAAATAGTAATTTTTTAAGGGTATTTTTATTTTCCAATTTTATTTTTTAAAATCGCTTAACACATTTAGCTAAAAGAATGTTGCATGGTAAAAATTGTTATTATTAGAAATTTATAGCAATTTAGAAATTTTGCGCAAAATTTTATTTCGAACTAATCAAATGAATTTCACTCATTAATTATGCATATCAATTTTAATGATTTCATAACTTATTTGGTTGAAGGAAAAATTACTGAACAACTGTTTTAATTTAGGCTACCCTTTTTCTGGCATATTTTTTTCATTCAATTTTTTTATCCATCTTTTTTTTCAACAATTTTTCAAAATCTAACTTTGTGTATTTGTTTCGTTTTTTTTGTTTTTAAATCTAACTTTGTATATTTGTTACTTTGTTTAAAAAATCTTTTTGTATTTTTATTTAAATTAAATTTCTTTCGCTAATATAAAATATTTCTTATTTGAAAATCATTTTCGGATAACAACTGATGTGACCTGAAATGGAAATTCAGTCGTCAAAAATTATGCTTTTTTGCAAAGTTGCATACCTTGGAAATAAAATGAAAAGGTAAGACGTTGAGGATAAAATAATTGACTGGCAACTGCAGGAAAAAAAGACGATATGCTTCGATTATTCGATGTGATCGAAATGGCTGGTAAGAAATGAAATCGGTGATGCTCAAGGTTATACATCCATAAGAAAAAAAAGGATGAGAAGAAAAAAGAAAAGCGAAAAATGGAGGTCATGCATAATGATAATTTTCGTGTAAATTTATTATAAATTTTTTTTTCATCTAAACTTTTTTTTTGAAATTTACTTAAGATTTTATAGCTTTAAAAGCACATTCTGATTGTTTATGTTTTTAATATTACACAAATCCAAAATATTTTATAATTTATGCATATTATTTTTTTAATTTCGTTATTGCAATTATAGCAGTAATTGTATCAAATTATTTATAATATATCATTATCACTAATACTTATTGGACTTCTTAATTTGTAATGCTATAGCTTTTGGAGGTGGAGAGAAAAGGAATACGTTATATAAGAAAACTAAGAAAGGAATATATTACATAAGTAATTGTCTGTACTAATTACTTTAACTTTTAATAATCAATTACATTTGACCTATTTTTTGGAAATAAGACAATACTATCAATAAATATCATCACATACAAATGAAACAACGAAAAAATGTGAACGAAAAAACAATCAATAATTGTTATCAGTAAATTGATAATACAATGGTTATCAATAAATACTTATATTTAATACATGTAATTATGTTTTTGATTTTTTAATTCTATTTATTTTCGCCTCATATTTCGATGCGTTGGCGATGTTTTTTTTTCTAAAGCTTGGTAATTTAAAGTTTGGTAAAAAAAAATCTAAAGCTCGGTAAAAAATTGGTAACTAAAATAATTTTCGGAAATTTTAATTCAAATGTTATCATTATCATCGTATATAATCAAGAGGAAATTTATTTTTTTTCAAATGATTAAAATATTACCATCAATCAATACTTTATATTTGTTAACACTTGCGGTTAAGCGGTATAATATTATTTTAGTTTGAAAAGTTGAATTTCATGCTACAGTCTATTGGTATTATTAATTATATATTGAATATCATTTTCCGATCACAAATTCTATCAAGTCAATAAACGAGTGCCATTAATACTTCTATTTTATTCAATATAATCGTCAACAAAGTGAATTACCTTTTAACAATGATGAAAATGGTCATAATTTAAGTATGAATATTAATCCTGAAAATTAATGATAGTTAATAACTTGGAAATGAAAAAGGAAGTGTCTATTTAGGTCAGTTTACGCTGATGACACAATCATCTAACATTACGTAGTTATTTGTGATCTTGAAAAGAGGAATTGTGGATAAAATTCTTGACCTTGAAAGAATTACAAGAAGAAAAGTATCAAACTCCTTCTTTGGTTACTCTTTTCGTCCGTGATCCGCCTCCTTCCTTCATTTTCATTTATTTCTTTGACCAGTCCTAACCAGATCAATTATTTCCATTATTTTCCACACCAAACTCTTCCTCAATTCCTCATTCGCAAAACCTCATTTATTATCCATCTAACCTCTAACCTAACCTAATCCTTTTCATCGTCAACCTTTTTTCCCATTCCCCTTTTGCTTTTCTCGTCCTCTGAGGAAATCATTTGCATAACTGCCGCAATCATTCATCCCCCAAACACTACAAAATCATTATTTTCACATAATCGACTACAAAACTGTCATTTTCTGGTCGTCTGTTCAATTTCCATTCAAAATTTTCTACCACAGGATATGCTTTTCTGTTTAAGCATCATCACAATATTGCCATTAAAATGCTTTGCTACTGTCTACATTGAAAATTCCATCTTAGGTAATTTTATTTTCATTTCTTTTTTCAAAATTTTTATTCATGTATTTTTTAGGAATTAAAATTTTGTTGTCATTAATTTTTTTTCTTTTACTTGTGGTGAATATTGCTATTTGTCTATTTCCTGGAATTAGATTTCAATAAAATACATTAATCATATTCAAATTATTGTCAGCCTATTTATATATTTTATATGCAAAGTTGGTTTAATGATGATTTATGAGATTTTAAGAGAGATAGCCACAGAAATGCATAGAAATGAATGATGATGAAGCATTTATTAGAAGCAGAACTACTAATCCATTCTATTTTTCATTTTTTTCAATTTTACTGAATAATTGTTAAGTTCTGATAAATTATAAGCTCATATAACTTTGCATTTTTCATATTATGCAAATTAGTGAATAAGCGAAAGTTTTCAATTACAATTTGTTACTCTTATTGCAGATAACATCACTAAAAATTAATTCATTCCATATTAGCCCACTACTAAAACAAAGAATAAATAAATTTTCTGTTTTTAAAATTTTGTAATTTATTAACAAGTAAAGTAACTCATTAATATATGTTGCCATTTTATTTGCCTTATTCATAAACTGATGAGTTGGATGTAATTTAATAAAAGAAATAAAAAAAGAAAAGGAAGGAATTGAAAAAAAAAGAGGAAATTTAAATGATCCAAATAAATATCCATTAAAGCAATCTCACAGACTTTTAGGAAAAAAACATTATAAATGGGACATTGTCAACGTCATCATTTTAATAGTAGCACATATCTAACAAACAGTTAACTCTTTATGCATCATTCGTTAGCATTTCATGATAATTTTTTGATAATTCATAGAAAAAAAATTCTTGAAATGTCAAAGTTTTAAAAGTTGGCATATAAATTTTTTTAAATAATATCATGGCATAATTTTTTTCTCTTTAATTTCAGATTATTAACAAATTCAGAATTCAGTAAAATATGATGAAGTGTATAAATGTACAAATCTATGAAATATTTTTTCTTGTAGTCGTAAAAGAAAAAAAGATCACCCCAACGAATTACTTTTAAGACTTTTATTTTGCAAACTAAAATTTATTTTTTAATAAAAGCGGATAAAAAAAAGTTAGGAAAATGAAACAGTTAGTGATACAATTGGATAAGAAAATATTGCTGAGGCAAATTTAGCATTTTTATTATTAGATCAAATTCATTCGAATAAAAGATTTACGGTGACTAAAAGAAGAATAATAGGAAAGGATTGTTTTTAACCTTGAATTGGAAATTTAAAATTTTAAATTTAAAAAAGGAGAGTGAAAAGGAAANNNAAAAGGAAAAAATTGATTTGTCGACAATTATAATAATCCTATTACTGTGTATATATTGCAATATGCTGTAGTAATTAGATTTAAATTATAATTTGCAAAAAAAGAGAACAAAAAAAAAGTAAAAGATTTTTGTTGTGTTTCCGGTCATACCACAGAATTTTTCACAAAAAATTTGCATAAATTTTTGCAAAAAAAAATTCGATCAAAGTGCAAATTATTATCAGTTATGCAATATAACCAATGATTATTGTTTGTGTTGAATGACATACAGATTATCCTGATAATGGAATGAAAATATAATTGATAATTAGAAATGATTGCTATGAAAAGTGCATCGGATGAACCAATAAAATTGTATAATTGTTTAAACCTTTTGGTTACTTAGAAAGAAAAGGAAAAGAAAAAGAAAAAGGAGAAGGAAAAGGAAAAGTTTTCGTAGAATTTTCATCATTAATTTCATTATGTTTTAATTTCATTTCCGATTTGTATCCATAAAATGTTAGCAAAATTTATAATAAGATAAATTTTTACTGCAATTATATGATTTATATTATAAATAGAAGGGAATGGACAATTGGTATGCAACGAAAAGGTTTCAAATTTTTATACCATTAAACGGTTATTATTATTAACAAAAGATTTATTGTGATTAATTATTGCTATTTAACTGGCAAGGTTATGGGAATTGGTGATACAATAAGCCTTTTGCGGTTAAGTTTCGTCTCATAACCTTTACAAATTTCATACTTATGTGAAATGTTTATAAATATTTTAAATTGATTGATATGAATAAAATGACAGCAACTGTTGGAAACAGCAGTTGAGTGATAAAAATGAGAAAAAAATGAAATCGATTAGATTTTTATTCGTTTTCAAATCAATTCATTTATTAATTATTATGTTTTTCTTCATAAGCTTATAGTCAAAATGTCGAAACTTACTTCATTCAGAGTGGAAAAGATCATCTCTTTTAGTTTAATCATAAATTTGAATTTCGATTTGACAAATTTTTTTATTTATTGTATAAGTGAAAGTTAGCTTTCATTTATTCTTCTCAGCTCAATCAATGATTAAATGCTCCAAAAGCTGCTGATAAAATTTGTGTTGGCAAAACTTTCAAAATTAAAATAGCACGCAAATTAAACTCTCCTAATTTTGATTTGAAATTTAAATTCAAAGTATTGCCACACATTGCTTCATTTTTTCGCCATAAATATTTATTCAAATTATTGTAATATTTTAAATGCTAATATGTTTGCAAAACGAAAAGCTAAGGTTTTATCGTGTTAGATAATTCGATAATTTATCCAATTTTAAACTTGATTTGATTTGATCTAAATCGTTTCTAAAACTTATTTTCAAATACTTTTAAATTCAATTCAATTATGGAATTATCTCTCTCCCCTTATTATGTCATTACTTAGGTGTACCAAAAGTGACGTGTGAAGAAAGTGATTTATCATTGGATGTGATAACAGCAAAACCATTTCATGGTAATATATTTGTAAAAGGACGAGCTAAGGATTCCTCATGCAAGCAATCTTATGATTACAACAGTTCTAATTCATATACCTTATCACTCGGTAAATGTGGTATGCAACGTTTGCGCTCAGTTAGTTTACACTTTTTACACTTTATAGAACACAGATTATTGATTGATACTAAATGAGTTATTGATTGACATTGATTATTATCAGAAAAAATCCGTCGATCTCTATGAGAAATTTTTTTGTAAATTTAGCAAATGCTTAAAGTATTTTCAAAACTTTTAAATTAATTAAAGTTAATTAAATTTGATCAAGCAAAATCATATTCGATTGTCGTTTAAATAAATTTCAACAATTTTTTGTTTATAATATTTTGAAATTCCTTCCCTTTTCATAAATGTTCAGTATCATATTAAAAATAGATGTAAGGATTTCTTTTACTGATTGATAAATCTCAATTTTAATTATTATTAACAAATTTAGGTAAAAATTTCAATTGAAAATTAAAATTAAAAAAAAATTCTAATTGTATGAAATACATTTCAGATTAATCCACGTGGGATTAATTTCATTATAACAGTAATTGTATCATTTCATCCAGCTGGTTTTATAACCAAAAATGATCGAGCATTCAATGTTAAATGTTTTTACTTGGAACCTGACACGATTGTTACGTCAGCTCTTCATGTCAGGTAAATTCAAATTAAATTTTCATTACTGAAAAACCGAGTTAAAATTTTTTTTTATATTTAAGTTAATTTCAAGTCAAAATTCTTCTGCTAATTTCTTTTACCATTAATCTAAATTTAGAATAACACCAAAATATTTGCGAATTAAAAAAAATTTCCAACTATTGGTTTTTTTAATTGAAATAAAGATCAAATCAACTATGCAAATTTTTCATTCAGACTTTTTTGGTGCATGCAGGAATTCTATCAGCAAATTTTTGCAATTATTCCTGACGTCACACAATTATTGCTAACTGTTAGGCATTTTAAATTCAAATGAAATTTCATAAAGTAAACTAATTTTTCAATCTAATTATCTATGATTTCTGCCCAATACCAATTATTGGGAACTTTTGATATGATTAATACCGCTGGTAGCAAAATTTTATAGCCCATTGGTGACAACGGAATTACGAGATGACTTGAAATTACCAACGTGTGAATACAGCGTAAGACGTGATGGCATTAATGGACCGCAACTTACATTTGCAAATGTTGGTGAAACGGTATGATTAATTACAAATTTTCGAAAAGAAAATTGAAAAAAAATTTTATTCAACATGAAAAAACTCAACAAACACGTATTTAAACATTGACTTATAATTTAACTCAAATTATAACAAATTAAATATTATTAACAGTAAAAAAATGTCATCGTAATTTTTATTTTTTATTCAATAATTTGTTTGTTTATTTTTAGCAAATATATTATTGTAAAGTAGATTTTATTTCATACAGTTCCATTGCATCCTTAATTGCTCCTTTTGCTTTAGCTTTACTGTTTTCGCTAGAACGTCTTTTTCCATATATATCATACATAAATGTTAAATATTTATTTATTTTGATAAATTTTTACCTAAAAATTTGAAAATATCTTAAATTTGGTTAGTTGTATTTATGATATAATAATGTAATTGATAAAATTAATTAAACATATTCAATTTTGGTTAGTTTAAAGTTAATTTTATTAATGATTAATATTTTTAAAGGTATTCCATGTTTGGGTATGTAATGGCGTCGGTATGGGAATGCTTGTTAAAAAATGTTTTGTAACGGATGGAGAAGGAACTGATCATCCTGTCTTGGATTTTAATGGGTATAGCTGTGCTTAATTTTGACTGAATCAAATATTTAAATTAAGCAATTTGAATGCTTAAATTTTTGCTAAAAACGAGTTGCTCAAGTTTTAATTCACTTTTTTATGCAGATATTAAATTTTATGAAATTAAATTTTTTATTTTTAGCTGTTCATTGGATAATTTCCTGTTAAGTGAGCTGGTGTATGATTCATCACTAATGAAAGCACATGCTCAAAGTCAAGTATTCAAATATGCTGATAGTAATCGATTATTTTTCACCTGTCAAATTCAATTGTGCCAAAAAACGATGGGTTACTGTGATGGAATTACGGTAAGTAAGCAATCGTTACTATCACTTTATCCAATATATGACATAGTAATCTTTGATAATTCTGCAATAAATTTGAAACAGAAGAAAACTTCAAATTAATAGTAATTGCTAACATTTATTGATAATAGCTATATTATAATTTTAGCCACCAAAATGTTCGGAAGAAGCAAATGTTAATGAAAATCGCAGTCGTCGTTCAATTTCACATCTGAAATCATCATCATCATCATCATCCAACAACAATAGAAACAATAATAATAATCAATTAAATGATAACATTCTTGAAATGGATATTACTTCATCGGAAATGCTTATTGGTGGAATCGATGATATGCTAATTGAAACAACGTCCTCGTGCTTTTCACCCTTTCTCGTTGCCCTCTCAAATTTCGTCCTTTTCACTTTAGTCACCGTCCTTTTGGCTATTGTTGTAGCAATAAAGAAGGAAACACGGAAAGCAATCATTTGTATCACATTCATTATCATCTGTCATACACTTTAATCAGGAATGATTAAATTACTGGAATGCTGAGGTAGACTTCATCGATTCATTATGTGATATCATTAATTGTACCTAACATTTACCTTATAATTTTAATAAAATATTTAAAAATCCCTATAATAATAATAATAATAAGAAGAAGAAGAAGAAGAAGAAGAAAAACGAAGAAAAGAAAACTTTTTCTGAAATTTACATTCGTTTTTGAAGAATTTTGAAAGTTTTCAAGGGTCAATTAGTAAATATATAAACTTTATCGAAAAAAATTATCATAATTATTAGTACATTTTTTAACCTTTTTCAACTTATCATATTTTTTCATGTCTATTATCAGTCCTATTCTCTCATATAAATTATTTCATGCAAATTATTTCAAACTTAATTTTCACTGTATTTTAATGTTTTTCAGTGATAAAATTATCTTTTAAATAATTGTTGTGCAAATTATTTTAATTTGTTCAAAACTTATTCTTTAATACTATTTCATACTAAAAAAAATTTTCACACTTTCTTAATTACTAGAAAAATTTCTAACAATGCTAATTAACGGTATAAATAGACCGAGAATCTTTTACATTATTGTGATATTTTCACCAAATATTATCAAAAATTAATGTAATCTCTTTTCTCACTATTTTTTAATCAAAGATTGGTAATTTACAGAAAAAAAAATTGTACCAAAAATATTATTCGTATCATTTACTAATGGTACCAATGAAGTGATAACATTAAACGGTACTGCATCATTTCTTGGTAAACTACCAAAACTTTATAGGTATCAATCAATAATTACTTTTAAGTACCTAAATTTTATGATTTAATATTGTATGTTATTTGTGTTCAAATAATAATTATGATAAAATGTTGAAAACATTCCATCCACTATTTCTGTATTATTTTATTAACATAAAAAATCATTCAAGTCTTTTTTCTCTCATCAGAAGTTTTTTATATAAACTAAATTAAAATATAATTTGTTAATATAAAATGTTGAATTGTTGGATGAGTAATCATTTTTTGCTATACTTAAATACAAAGGAGCGGCCGGTTTCATTAAAATTTTGTCCCTAAATTTAGCGACGTAACAATCGGGAATATCCGAGAAGTATTTGCTTGTTTATTGAATCCACGACTTAATTAATTGCCTTCCATTGATTCTAAATTAACTAATTCAGATATCAAAAAAAATTTTGCATATCATAAAGCAAGCTAATCATTCCAATTTGAAACGCACAACGATAAAATGTATACAAATAAGGTACGTTTAACAACTGTCAAATAATGGTTTCAAGATTTCTTTGACCAAAAAATTTTTATAATTTTGGAAATAATACCCTTTCATATCTTTATGTATTAATCAGTCATTTTATGAAATTTCAAAGTACTGCAAGTTGAGCGAAATCAATGTTTAAATTAAATTTCTTTTGTGAAGTAGAAGATAAATTCATTTACAACATTCATTTCAATTTGTGAATAAAAATTATTTGAAATATAAAGGAAGAAGAATATTTTGATAATATTTAAGTTAATGCAAATTTATTTGCTGGATTTTTTGAGAAGTAATACGGATCGAGATGTATAAATCGGATAAGAATGGACTTAAAATCGAAATCCTGATTAGCAGTGAATAATTTACTGTTAATCTTAACGTTTATCCTAAAACTTCTTTGTTATGCAAATTCTTTAATATAATTTTTAATTTTTCTTCTTAATTAATGTTTAATTTCGATTATGCAGCCAATTGAAAATAATTCGATCATATTTGCATCATCATTTGGTGCGGGAGCATTTGCAGGAATGGTTGCTAAATCAATCGTTGCACCTTTGGAAAAAACAAAAATTCATTTTCAAGGTGAAAAGAAAGTGACCAATTTATTAAACAAACAATGCAAATCATGACTTATTTGAGTAAAAATATATGTATTAAATAGAATAGATAAATTTTGCATAAGTTTTGTATTACTAATTTCTTTATTCAAAAAGCATTACTACATTCAAATTAATATCATGTATTTAGTAATTTTAAAACTAAAAAAATTTTGATCAAATGTTAGATTAACAATCAAAATAATTCCAAATTTTGAAATTATCCAAATTTTGAAAAATCCGTTAATTTTCAAGTGGAATTACTTAGGCAAGCCTTAAAAGAATATAAATTAGCCAAAAAAAATTTCCCGAATTTTTC